ATATTATTTAGATATAATTAATATCTATTATATAATTAAATATTATTAAATAACTATATAATTAAATATTATTTAGATATAATTAATATCTATTATATAATTAAATATTATTAAATAACTATACAATGAAATATTATTTAGATATAATCAATTATTAATATCACAAATACATAAAAATGTTATATTGCTACATATTTCATTATTATATTATATATTATTATATTATTTAGATCCTTAATAATTATTATAATTATACTTATATAGTTATAAAATATAATATTGTTATATCATAGTATTATAATATTGTATATTATTATAATATTATAGCATTATACGATATTTTATTATAATATATTGTATTTTATTATAATATCATTATATTTTATTATAATATTATAATACATAATATTAGATTATTAATATTGTAATATTAAATTATTATAAGATTTATTATATATTCACTATACATTTACTATTTATTATTACATTACTATATTATATTATTATTATTATATTGTTATTTACTATTATAATTTATTATAATTTATTATATAATTATGTTTATTATTACATTATATAATAAGTGTATTATATCATCACTATTATTATTTTATGTTAATGCACTATTATAAATTATCAATATACTATTATATAAATTAATATACTATTATATAAATTATTAATATACAATTATATATTATCAATAATAGTGTTTATTATACATTATGAAAAGATATTATTATATTATAACGATATAAATTAATTATTTAATGTATAATTAACATATTCCTGTACACCCTTCCCTCCCCAAACCCGCTCTTTTTCTGCCCCCGTCTTTCCCCAGCGCCAAGAAAACGGGATTTTCCCGCCCTCACCTTGTCCAGGTTCCTCAGGGCCGACTCCAGGTGCTCCGAGCGCTCCTGGCTCAGCCTCTCCTGGCTCCGGAATTCCGCCCAGGCCTTTTCCAGCCTCCTGCGCTCCTCGGAGCGTTCCCGGAGCGCCGCCCGCTGCTCCTCCAGCCACGCGCCCTGGGAGGAGCCGCGGCACATCCCCATCCCGATCCCGCTTCCCACCAGGGATTCCCGCCTTTCATCCCTCCCTGCAGCTTCCAGAGGCTGCTCCCAGCTCCGGGGGGCATCCCGGGATATTCCCCGTACACCGACCCGGACGGATCCCAGCCCCTTTCCCAGCCCCAATCCCACCCGGCTGGTTCCAATCCCATTTCCCAGCCCCTTTCCCAGCTCCCACCCAGATGGTTCCAATCCCATTTTCCAGCCCTGTTTCCACCCAAGTCATTCCAAACCCCATTCCCAACCCTATTTCCACCCAGCTGCTTCCAAGCCCCTTTCCCAGCCCTGTTCCCTGGTTCCACACTCCTTCCAAGCCCCTTTCCCAGTTGGTTCCAAGTCCCTTTCCCAGTTGGTTCCAAGCCCTTTCCCAGTTGGTTCCAAGCCCTTTCCCAGCCCTGTTCCCACCCAGCTGGCTCCAAGCCTGTTTCCCAGCTGGTTCCCACCCCCCTTTTCCCAGCCCTGCTCCCACTTGGTCCGTTCCAAGCCCCTTCCAGCTCCCACCCGGTTGGTTCCAAGCCCTTTTCCCAGGCCTCTTCCCACCCAGGCAGTTCCAAGCTCCCGCCTGCTGATTCCAAGCCCTCTTCCCACCTGAATGGTTCCCCGCACCTTCCAGCTCCCACCCAGCTTGTTCCAATCCCATTTCCCAGCCGGTTCCAATCCCATTTCCCAGCCGGTTCCAATCCCATTTCCCAGCCCTGCTCCCACCCAGCTGCTCCCGAGCCCCTTTTCCCATCCCCCTGGAGCTGCAGGAGGCCCAGAGAGCAGGTGTGGGAAGCTGGGAAAGCCCCTGGAATTGTGTCCCAGCCCACCTTGGCCTCGTCCAGCGCCGCCCTTTCCATGGAGAGCAGCTGAGCCGAGAGCTGCCGCTGCTCCTCCAGCGCCTTCCGCAGGGATTCCGCCTTGGAATGCTCGGCCTCGGCCCTGCGGCGCTCCTGGGGGGGCAGGGGCAGCTCCAGGGATCGCCCCCATCCCGCCGGGAGGGCTCGGGGATGGGGACACTTTGGGAATCACCTGCTCCAGGAGCTGCTCCTGCTCTCCCAGCCGGGATTCCAGGGCAGCCAAGGCCTCCTGGAGCCGGCTCTGCTCCTGCTGCTGCCGGCACAGCCGGGCCTGGAGCGCTGGGAGAGGGAAAACCGGGATCCAGGGGGGAGCCTGGGCACCAGGAGGGGGATCCTGGGCACCAGGAGGGGGATCCTGGGCAGCAGGAACCGGATCCTGGGCAGTGGGAATTGGATCCTGGGCAGCAGGAACCGGATCCTGGACAGTGGGAATTGGATCTTGGGCAGCAGGAACTGGATCTTGGGCAGCAGGAACTGGATCTTGGGCAGCAGGAACTGGATCCTGGGCAGTGGGAATTGGATCTTGGGCAGCAGGAATTGGATCCTGGACAGTGGGAATTGGATCTTGGGCAGCAGGAATTGAATCCTGGGCAGTGGGAATTGGATCTTGGGCAGCAGGAATTGGATCCTGAGCAGTGGGAATTGGATCTTGGGCAGCAGGAATTGGATCCTGAGCAGTGGGAATTGGATCTTGGGCAGCAGGAATTGGATCCTGGGCAGTGGGAATTGGATCCTAGGCACCAGGAGGGAAATCCTGGACAGAAGGAATTGGATCCTGGGCACGAGGAATTGGATCCTGGGCAGCAGGAGGTGGGATTCTCCCTCCTGTGGAAAACCCGCCCGTGTTTGTGCCCTGCACCCCCAGCACAGGGAAGATCCCATTCCCAGGGCTTTGCCAGCCCTGTTCCCAGCCCTTGCAACGCTGGGAGCAACTCATCCCAGTTTTCTGGGGGTCCCTAAGCCTGAGGGGGATCCCAGAGGGGGAGGAGGAGCAGCCGTGGCCCCTCTGGAGCCGAGCCGGACACGGAGCCTGCGGAGCTCAGGGAATTCCCCCCGCAGCCCCCCCGTGGGATCAGGATCTCGGGGCTCCTGGGGGACAGCACAGGGCTGGATCTGTCCCAGGAGTGCCCGGATTCCGTGGGATCAGCACTGGTGTCGTTGGGATGGAGCAGAGGAATCCTTGGAACGACGCACTTGGAGGGAACGTTACCTGTGAGCTGCTCATCCCGCTCCCAGGACGGGGGGTGATCCCGGGATCTGGGGTGATCCTGGGCCGTGGAGGGATCCTGGCAGTGATCCTGGGCCGTGGGGTGATCCTTGGAGAGGGGCAGATCCCAGGATGGGGGATGATCCTGGCACGGGGGGGGACTCCCATCCTGGCTCCGTATCAGAATCCGTGGCCTCTCCTGCTGCTCCTCCCCCACCTTCCCTTGGCTCCTGAGCAGGGATCGGGATCGGGATTGGGATCAGGATGGGAGGGACTGGGAAGCCCCCCGGCACTCCCAGCCCCGGCGGGGGGAGCACAAGGGGGACCCGGGGACCCGTGGGGGCTCTCCAGGAGATCCCAGTACCTGTGGGATCCCAGGAGATCCTGGTACCTGTGGGATCCCAGCAGATCCCAGTCAGTACCTGTGGGATCCCAGGAGATCCCGGTACCTGTGGGATCCCAGCAGATCCCAGTACCTGTGGGAGCTCTCCAGGATATCCCGGTACCTGTGGGATCCCAGGATATCCCGGTACCTGCGGGATCCCAGCACATCCCGGTACCTTTGGGATCCCAGCAAATCCCGGTACCTTTGGAAGTTCTCTGGGATATCCCAGTACCTGTGGGATCCCAGGAGATCCCAGTACCTGTGGGATCCCAGCAGATCCCGGTACTTGTGGGGGCTCTCCAGCAGATCCAGGTCCCGGTGCCGCCTCTGGAGACTCTCCAGGAAGAGGCTCCGCTCCAGCTCCAGCGCCCGGACCTGCGGCACCGGGAGAGAGGACACCCCACCCCCACGGGTGACACCCCACCCACGGGTGACACCCCCACTGCACACAGGTGACCCTCACACACAGGTGACCCCCCCCCTCCACAGGTGATCCTCCCCTTCCATAGGTGACCCCCACACACCCAGAGATGACCCCCCCTCCACAGGTGATCCCCACACACCCACAGGTGGACCCCTCCCACCCACGGGTGACCCCCCCTCCACAGGTGACCCCATCCCACAGGTGACCCCCCCCCCACAGGTGACCCCCTCTCACAGGTGACCCCCCCAGGTGACCCCATCCCACAGGTGACCCCCCCCCACAGGTGACCCCCTCTCACAGGTGACCCCCCCAGGTGACCCCATCCCACAGGTGACCCCCCCACACCCACAGGTGACCCCCCCGGGTCCCACCTGGAGCTCGAGCTCCGCCACCCGTGCCGGGAGAGTGCCCAGGATGGAGCCGGAGCCGGGATTGGCCGGGAATGCCGGGAATGCTCCTGGAGCTGGGAATGGCCAGGATGGGAATGATCCTGGATCCCTCTGGAATGGTTGGGATGGGAGAGCCCCTGGATCCCTCTGGAATGGTTGGGATGGGAATGCTCCTGGATCTTGGAGTGGTGGGGCTGGGAGAGCTCCTGGATCCCTCTGGAATGGTTGGGATGGGAATGCTCCTGGATCCCTCTGGAATGGTTGGGATGGGAGAGCCCCTGGATCCCTCTGGAATGGTTGGGATGGGAATGCTCCTGGATCTTGGAGTGGTGGGGCTGGGAGAGCTCCTGGATCCCTCTGGAATGGTTGGGATGGGAATGCTCCTGGATCCCTCTGGAATGGTTGGGATGGGAGAGCCCCTGGATCTTTCTGGAATGGTTGGGATTGGAGCATGGTGTCCTGGGAAGGGCATCTCTTGCTCTCCCGGGAATGCTGATCCAGCCCCTCCACCTCCTCTGGCTCTTTTCCCGGGCTCCCGGAGGGTTGGGAATGTCTCTCCTGGGCTCTTTTCCGGGCCAAGGCCGAGCTCAGCCAGTTCTGCTCCCGGGCCGGGCCGGGATTGGCTCCTGCCAGTGGCTCCAATCCCAGGAAATCCTCATCCCTGGGTCCCAATCCCGGGAAATCCTCATCCTTGGGTTCTGATCTTGGGAGCTTCTTGTCCTTCGATGTCAGTCCTGGGAAATCCTTGTCCTTGGGTCCCAGTCCCGGGAATTCCTTGTCCTTGGGTCCCAGTCTTGGAAAATTCTCATCCTTGGGTCCCAGTCCTGGGAAATCCTCATTCCTGGATCCCAGTCCCGGGATATCCTCGTCCTTGGGTCCCAATCTTGGGAAATTCTTGTCCTTTGATCCCAATCCTGGGAATTCCTTGTCCTTGAGTCCCAATCCCGGGAAATCCTCATTCCTGGATCCTAATCCTGGGAGATCCTTGTCCTTGGATCCAAGTCCTGGGAAATCCTTGTCCTTGGGTTCGGATCTTGGGAAATTCTTGTCCTTCGATCCCAGTCCTGGGAATTCCTTGTCCTTGGGCTCCAGTCCTGGGAATTCCTTGTCCTTGGGTCCCAGTCCCAGGAAATCCTCATTCCTGGATCCCAATCCTGGGATATTCTTGTCCTTGGATCCCGATCCTGGGATATCCTTGTCCTTGGGTCCCAATCCCGGGAAATCCTCGTCCCTGGCTCCGGATCCCGGGAATTCCTCGTCCTTCAGCCCCAGCCAGGCGGCCCCGCCCCCGCTGCCCCTCGGGAAGAGGCCGATCCCACCGGGAATCCTGCGGGAGAGAGGGGGCACTGAGGGGGGACATGGGGACACTGGGATAGTGGGACAGTGGGACACTGGGATAGTGGGACACTGGGATAGTGGGGATACTGGGATAGTAGGATACTGGGATCTTGGGATACTGGGGATGCTGGGGATACTGGGGATCTTGGGATACTGGGACACCAGGGATATTGGGATACTGGGATACTGGGGATATTGGGATATTGAGGATACTGGGATACTGGGGAAATTGGGATACAGGGGATACTGGGGATATTGGGATACTGGGGATATTGGGGGCATTGGGGACACTGGAGACCAGCCAGGGGACATTGGGGGACACTGGGGACATTGGGGGACACTGGGGACATTGGGGGGACATTGGGG